GGCAAGATACTTACCTCAACTAGGCTAATTCAACTCTCGAAAATAGATTTTCCCCAGAAATTTGCCTCTACACGGCTCAAATCTAATTTAAATCGACTTAATATCATCAAACAATGCAAGGGAAATCAATTACAATAAATAAAGTTATGATTTTTACATTTTTTCCAAAAAGTCAACATAAGTCAACTCGGGGCCCGCCCAGTCAAAACCCGGGTCCAAGGGTAGATTCCGACTATCCATAACCCCACGAGTCCACATATATGATTAGTTTTAAAATCCGAGTCCAAATCGACTCTCAAAACTCAAATTCTTATTTTTCAAAAACTTGACAAGGTTTCACAAATTTTCACTGTGATTCACATGATTTTGATGTTAAAATCTAAGATATATTGATTGAATATAGTTGGAAATAGATTAGAATCACTTACCCAAAGTTTGTAGAAGAAAATCCCCTCTCTAAATCGGCTTGTACCGAGTCTAGGGTTCTAAAATGAGAGAATATGCTAAAAAATTCCGTCTCCCAGCCCCTTTGTCCAGCTGCAGGGGTCGCATTTGCGACACATGGTTCACATTGCGAATCTTGCGGTCCAGGGATCGCAATTGCGAACCCCTCGCAATTGCGGACCAGGGATCGCATTTTCGAACCCTGACAGCCTCAATCATTATCGCAATTGCGAAGCTGGAAATCTCCCAAAAGCGAAAAAATGTTTGCAAATGCGAACCAAGTCAAAATCCTGTTGACTTCGCAAATGGAAGGGGCAATCACAATTGCAACATCTGAGCACCCACTGTTACCTTCACATTTGTGAGGTTGGTGCCCGCAATTATGATATACTAAACAGCAGCAACACCAGCAATTCATTTTCAGTTCAATCCATTCCGAAACATTTCTGAAACTCATCCGAGCCCTCGGGGATCCTCACCAAACATCTAGACAAGTATAGATATATCATACGAACTCGCTCGTGCAATTAAAACACAAAAATAACATCTAAAACTACGAGCCGAACCCTAAAACGCATAAGTTTCAAAGTAAACTTCAAGAACTTCTATGATTGCAACTAGGCGTCCGAATCCTATCAATTCAACTCCAAATGACACAAAATTTTGCAGACAAGTTCTAAATAGCATAACAGACCTATCCTAAGTCCCAAAATCAAATTCCAAACTCAATAGCTAAAAGTCAACCTACGGTCAAACTTTTCAATTTCAAATTGCCAATTTTCGGCAAAATAACACAAATCAATCTATGGACTTCCAAATTCAATTTCGGGCATACGCCCAAGTCCGAAATGACAATATGCAGCTATCAAAGCCATCAAAATACCGTTTCGAGGTGATTTTCACAAAATTCAAAGTTTGTTCAACATTTCTAAGTTCGGCTTCTACGCCAAGAATCAAAGGGTCCAAAACAATTTGAAATTCTCCCGAAATGAAAATAACTGACTCCGCAAGTCAAAAAACCATAACACGAATGTGTGAAGCATAAAAAGTAAAAATAGGGCGCAATTACAAAAAATAGTCGAGTCGTTACAAAAGAATGTTTTATATATTCTAGAGTTCAAATACAATCTGCTGTCAGTTTCAAAGATTACAAAGGAACTAGGTTGCTTTGTTGCCTTCTTTCCTGAATTTTGTATCTCTCAGGAGCTCTTTAGTCGGAAGGTGGTGGTGATTGGTAAAGAAGAGTGTGGTATCTATGTTCTCAGGCCAGCAAGATAGGAAGGTTCAGTGAAGTTCTTAGATCAGGAGCTTGTGTCTTCTATCACATTTGTAAATACTACTTCTAGTGATTTAGTAGGAATAATACTACTGCAGTCAATTTGAATGTTGATAAGAGTTCTAATATTACCTCCATGTGGTATAAGAGGTTAGGGCATGCACCTCTGAAGGTTCTGAAGAGAACAAGTAGTTTGCCTAATGCTCAACAAAAGACCATTATTGTATTGTTTGTCTTATTGCTAAACAAGCTAGACTATTTTTTCCTGTTAGTACTTCTTGCTTTACTTATCCTTTTGCTATTATATATGCTTGACATATAGGGGCCATATAGAGTCCCAACTCATGATCATAAGAGATACATTATGACTTTGGTGAATGATTTCTTCATGTACACTTGGATATTTTTAATGGATATCAAGGCCGAATATGTAGTGATTTTGAAGCATTATTTAATATTTGTCCAGGATCAGTTCACTTGCAAAGTTAAATGTTTAAGGTCAGACAATGATACTGAATTATTTAATGAGTAGGTGACTAGTTTGTTACAGGGTCATGGTGTCATTCATCAAAGCTCGTATGTGTATAATCCTTAATAGAATGGCAGGGTTGAAAGAAGACACATGTCTATCCTTGATACGGCAAAAGCCTTGAGATTTTAGGTCTTTCTTCCGCTAAAGTTTTGGGGTGAATGTGTCACCACTGCTGTGTACTTGCTCAATAGATTACCTGATGTTTTTGTTGAAAGGGGTCTCGCCCTTTGAGATGTTGTTCCAGAGTAATCTATCCTTGAAGCACCCGAGAATCTTTAGAGAGTTTATGCTATGCAACCAATGTAAGGAAAACGGTTTAGTCCTAGAGTAGTTCCAACTGTCCATCTAGGATATTCCTCTGTACAAAAGGGATATATTTTGTATAATCTCCACAATAAGGTTTTCTTTGTTAGTAGAGACACTATTTTTAAGGAAGAGATATTTCGTTTTAAACATATGGTTTCTAATGATTCTCCATTATTTCATATTATGAAATTCAGAGAAGATGACATCACTCTTCCTAAGTCTGATTGACAGCTTTCTGACTCTTCTGGTAGAGAGTCTCCTTCTGATGTAGGGTCTTCTTCAGTTGATGTGCCTCCCATGCCTGATTATTGTGAACATTCCACTTCATTGAATCCTACTCCTACCATGGCTCCTCCTGATATGAGGAAGTCTTCTAGAACTTCTAAGCCTCCTATAAGGCTTAAAGATTATATTGTAGAGTCCAAAGGATCCTCCTGCACATATCCTATTTCTCAGTATGTCAGCTATGACAAGTTGTCCTCCTGGCTATAGAGCATCCATTGCTGCCTACGTAGATGTGCTTGAGCTAGATCATATGCAGAAGCTAACACTAATCCCAAGTGGATAGATTTTATGCAAGCTGAGATTGAAGCTCTTGAAGATATCACACCTGGACGATTGTTGATATTCTAGGGTAAAGTTCCTATTGGGTGTAAGTGGATCTTCAAAGTGAAGTACAAGTCTACGGGGGAGGTGGAAAGGTATAAAGCTCGACTTGTTGCTAAGGGGTATATCCAACTGGAAGGGCTAGATTGAAAGGAGACTTTTTCACTTGTAGCAAATATAATAACTGTAAGGTCTGTAGTGGCTTCGGCTGCAGCATCTGGTTGGTATATTTTTCATATTGGTGTCTATAATGCATTTCTTCAAGGTGATTTACTTGAGTAAGTGTTCATACATATTCCATATGGCTTTGCCAGCCAGAGGGAGTCTCAACAGAAGATGTGTAGACTTCATAAGTCATTATATGGACTTAAACAAGCCCTTAGGCAATAGAATTTGAAGCTGACCAATTCACTACATGATATTGGTTTTGTTCTATCTTACTATGACTATTCCCTCTTTAAACAAAAGGTAGAGTATGATCTGGTAATTGTACTAGTGTATGTGGATGATCTTTTGGTCAGTGGGAGCAATCTTAAGCTTATTCAGAAGGTAAGGAAAGACTTGCAGTCTAGGTTAAGATGAAAGATTTGGGAGAATTGAAATATTTCCTAGGCATTGAGTTCTCTAGATCCAAGAAGGGTATTCTAATGAACCAAAGAAAGTATGCCCTTTAACTAGTGTTAAGAATAGGGTTAGTAGGTAGGAAACCAGTGGGAACACCCCTTGAGTTCAACTATAAGCTTGCCTCTAGTACTTTGACAAGTTTATGAACAATGATAACATATGTGCTATATGAACAGACAAACATCTTGAGGATTCGAGTAACTATCAGAGATTGATTGGCAGGTTATTGTATCTAACATTGGCAAGGCCTGATATAGCTTTTGTTGTCAAGTGCTCAGTCAACATATGCATGCTCTCAAACAGTCACACATGGATGCAGCTATGAGGGTTGTCAAATATATCAAAGGAACATCAGGTCTAGGATTGTTTATACCAACAAAAAGAACCAATCAGTTGATAAGATACTATGATTCCGATTGGAGAGCATGTGTAGAAACAAGAAAATCAGTCACTGGATACATGGTAAAATTTGGTGATGCAACGATATAACACTATTTCTAGAAGTTCTGCTGAAGCAGAGTTCAGAAGTATCGCTGCTACTATGGCTGTAATTACCTGGCTAAATGGATTGTTTAAAGAGATTGGATTGAAGTACATCTACATGTGCAGTTGTTCTGTAACTGCAAAGCTGCAATACAAATTGCAACTCATCCAATTCCATGAAACAATAAAATATTTTGATATTGACCGTCATTTTATTAGAGAAAAAATTGAGGATGGCTAGATACAAACACACACATTGGAACCAAAGAGTAGCTAGCTGATCTACTTACAAAGAATTTGTGTAAGCCACAACATAACTATCTAGTAGACAAGTTGGGAATGATGAACGTGTTTCTCTCTCAGCTTGAGGGAAAATGTTGAGATAATGAGTTAGTTATAGTATTAGTGGAGCAATAGCTAACTGTTAGTTAAGTTAAAATGTAGTTATTAACATATAGATATAGTGGGCAGTTGTGTATGAATATCACTAAGCTCTCATCTTTGGTCTGAAGTCTCTCATTGCTTCCTCCTTTGGTCTCTTTTCTGTTAACCGCCATTGCTGAGCATCTTCAACAGAAAAGTTTTAGATAGATAAGTTAACTTTTTCCTTCTAGAAAGCTTGCTTTGCTAGACCTAGCTATGTATGAGGAATGAACATCCTCCACAATATAATTATTTATAACAAAAATATCTAATTTGAATGTAAAGTTCCATTGTGATATTTAGACCCAAATAAAGTGCTCGCATCCAAATATGCCGATGCAGTTGAATCTGATTTTTTTTCTCTTTAAATTGGATTTCTACTACTAATACTACTTCAGATGAAGTCTTAACAAATCCGTGCATCCATAAATTATAAATTTGTGTCCAACAGTCCAAATTCATGATGAAAACTCCCTTTTCTTGCATTATTAAAAGCAGAGACTTCTTCTTGACCCCATACTCGGAGCCCTTCTCCTTTTGGCGATTTTCTCTCTCAAAATTTTTAGACATTTTATACCCTGTTTGGCCAACCTTCTTTTTTGCTAAAAATTTGTTTTTTTTTTTTTTTTGCCAAAAGTACTTTTGACAAAAAATGAAAGTATTTGGCCAAGCTTTTGGAAAGAAAACGGGGCTATTATTCTCTTCTTTTTAGATCTGGGTCACCCTTTATCTTCCTAAAAAGATTCAAGAAGACCAAAGTCCTAATTAGATTTGATAACACCAATCCTCCCCCCCACCCCCACCCCCTCCCCCTCTCGCTCTGGCGAAGGTTCGTTTCTACACATTTTGGAGGTCACGAATACACCCATTTTTTCAAAGTGGGTTTCTATTCAGACTTGTCAAATGTTTGGAGTTGAAGACTAAAGTTAAATCATGATTGTTTTCACCTAGGTAAAATGTGGTTGTGTGTGTGTATGTGTTTTTTTTGAGGTGGTTGATCCTATGTGTTTTCTGTGAAATCTGACATTGGTTCAATCTTTGGTTTTTTCTCCTGTTACAGGAGATACATTTATGGGTCACTCATCATCAGAGCAGAGGCTGTGTAGTGTGAGATTTGTATCGGTTGTGTTGGGTTTGTGTTTGGTTCTTTACATTGTGAGACCACCAAGGCTGTGGCACAGCTCTACTCTTTTGGCTTCATGTCCTCCTTGTTCTTGTGATTGCTCTCAGGATTCCATCCTCTCTCTGCCTTTAGGTCTGTTCATTTTCTTATATAACCTTCCATTTACAAAATATACCAGCTGTATCTAGTTTTCCTGTATTTCTATGCTTCTTTATTAGAGATATAGTGACTAAAAATTATGGTTCATTACATTCTGAAGCATGTTACATTCACTTACGCATTTATTTGATGAAGGAAGATGATGCTTTAAATTTGAAGTTATCAACTGCTGATACAGTAGTAATCACTGAAATTCCTGCTTCTAACCAGCAAAGCGTTTAGACTGCTTATTTATTTCTTATTAGGGGGGCACTTAATGAAGAGTTCCCGATACAAAAACGGGAATATGCCATTATCTGCAGCGAGCACGTGCTATTCTTTAGTAAAATATACACCGATTGATTTTGATTTAATTCGTAAATTAACCAATTAATAAAATTGTAGCTGCCTATTTAGCAGAACCCCACTTTATCCTCCACGGGATTTATCTTTTTGTGTTTGTCATAGTGAAAAATGAGGTAGAATCCTTTGTCCTTTCTTAACAATAGGAAGGAACAACATATTTCAACTGAAGATTCTTAATGGTAATAGAATGTCCAAAAGGAATTAAGTCAAGGCAGTGAAATGTACCTTAAAGTTTGATGTTTGTTTGGCTATGGGAAAAAGGCAGGAATTAAGTTTGATGTATCTTGAAACAAATGTTGCTGGATATGGGAAAAGTTCTCTATACCCGACTAACTTCGGTTTCAATAATTTTGTATCAGCAAATGCAGCAGAAGAGACTTCAGGAAAGAAGTATTGCCAAATTATTTTTGGCTTATAAGAAGTGACGGTCTAGCCTTCCAAGTCAATAGAAGAGTTAGATTGATTTCTTTACATATAAATGTTGATTCTCCCGTAATGACTTTCTTATTATTCAGTATACTGCAGTGCTAGTCCTTTAGAGTTTTGCAAAGCAGCAGAAATAAGGTTTTAATCATGCTGCCACCATCCAAACTCTCATGGCTAATAGGAAAAATGCCAATTTATGCCTTTTCTCCATAGTTCCTCTTTTTTTTTATGTTTTTTGGTGGGCCTTTTAATGGTGGAAAACTTGTAGAAATTGTGCAAATGCTTATGTCTCGCGATGCAAAACTAGCAACTGTGATATTTTTTGTTCCAGATGCATATTAGTATTGGCTGTTATGACTTATCTTCGGTTTATGTGTTATTTGGCAGATGTCTTCAACAATTCATTGGAAGGTTAGCTCACTGCTCTTGTTTCAAAGCCTGAAAATTGTCTTATGTAAAATTATACAATCTCAAGATATAAAGTGAAATATTGCATCTTTAGTTTTCTGGTTGAAGTTTTTTGTTTTCTGCTTAAATATGTTTCTCTTAAGTTGTAGTGGACTGAGAAAAAAAGGAAAAAAAAAAAAAGATTTGTTCAGACAAGTTTATGAATTTATTTTCCGAACTTCCAGAAATTTCGGAACTACCCAAACAGTTGTATGATGAATAGCTTTAGCGGGGGACTAATAATGCCACACTATGTAGGAGCCTTTAACTCATTTTTGCCTTTTCTATCAAGTTAAGAACCTACGCATTCAGTAATTCTGTTGCCTCTGTTGCCTGGGGAATTTCTCGGTTATAAAAAAAGAAGAAGAAAGAAAACAGTAATCCCGTTAGAGGATAGTTTGAGATTGTAGACAAGCTGAGTATATAATTGCAACCGGTATATGACTTTGAATTGAAGGAGAGGAAGTGGCCCATTCCAGAGTAGGGATATCAATGCAGAATGGCTGCATGCAGTGGAGTCGCTCTTTATTTCTGTTACTCTTTTTTCAGCTGCGTCTTAAAATCCCTTGCATCATTTTTTTTTGTGTGGATGCAGACTGTGGTAAAGATGATCGTGATATGAATGACGAGATGAAGAAGGACATTATCAGTCTATTGTCAGAGGAAATTAACTTGCACAAAAATGTCACCGATGACAATCTGGAACACACCAATGCTCTAATTATGAGTGCAAAGAGAGCATCTTCACATTACCAAAAAGAGACGGAGAAATGCAACATGGGGATGGAAGCATGCGAGGGTGCTAGGGAAATGGCTGAAGCTGCATTGATACAAGAGCGCAAGCTCTCGGCATTGTGGGAGATAAGAGCCATTGAGCTGGGATGGAAAGACAAGTGAAGACAGACTTTATTCACGGAAATTAACCATTCAAATTTTTTTCCTCTCGTACAAATATAGCTGGCATGTGCGTGGATGTGCACCCTATTGACTAAATTACTCCTCTGTGAATACGGTTGCTTTTTTTGCCAATCAGGCTTCATTCTTTGTACTTGAAATTGTATTAATTCCGGTTAATAGGTTCATTCAAGCTTTCTGAGTTTTCATTCTTTGTTTTGTGGTGTCAGTAAAATATGCATGTGATTAATATATTGTTGATAAAGCAGAAGTGCAGAGAACATTTCTGAGTACAGCATAGTTGTAAGCCCAAAAAAGAGGTAGTTGATGCTAGGGGTGCTAATCGGGTGGATTGGGCGGATATTTACGTTTAACGGTTTGGCTTATCGGTTATTGATTTATAAATATAGTAATCCTTAGCCAACGAATAAGACATCGGACGGATTGGTAACATATTAGCTATCAGGTGGTAATCACACGATTTATCCGTTAAATCAAATAGACAATAAAAAAGAAATGTAAAAATTGCACGGGGCGCCTTATTTGGTTGCCCCCATTTAACCTATACCCATTTTTTTTATAAACTTTTAACTTGTACCCACTTTTTAAATAACTTCAGCCCCCTTTCTCCTCCTCCTTCGTTTTCTTCTTCTTCTTTCTTCTGCTGCTGTTGGTGCAGATTATTTTTTAGGTAAAATTTCTTTTAAACTGTTGGTGCATACAAGTTAAAACTTTCTTTTGTACCTTTATATGATTAAAAAAGAAATTATTTTCCATAGTTCCTTTTGTGAGTGGAAACTATCAAGATACCATTGTTAAGTGACGACGACTTTGCAATTTAACCGTATTACGGAGCTCATTATTTGATCTCGCAATCAGGAATGATTAATTTGCATTTATTTAAGGTGAAAGCTGTTTCTTGTAAAGCTAAATTGAGTATGTTAGCACATAAAAATTCTTGAGCCTAGTGTTCAGATTTTACCCCAAAGATTTTAACAAACTAGCAAGTTGTTGATGGATGGATCCCCAGCTTATTTGAGCAGATCCTATTCTAAAGCTAGCTTCCAAATAACTCGACAGTTACAAAACAAAAACTTCAGCTCTAGAGCTGAAGTTCTCCAGTTACAAAAATAAAAACTTCAGCTCTAGAGCTGAAGTTCGCCAGTTACAAATAAAAACTTCAGCTCTAGAGCTGAAGTTAAACCGTTACAAAACAAAAACTTCAGCTCTAGAGCTGAAGTTCTCCAGTTACAAAGACAAAAACTTCAGCTCTAGAGCTGAAGTTCCCCAGTTACAAACAAAAACTTCAGCTCTAGAGCGAGCTGAAGTTCGCCAGTTACAAACAAAAACTTTAGCTCTAGAGCTGAAGTTCGCCAGTAACAAAACAAAAACTTTAGCTCTAGAGCTGAAGTTCGCCAGTAACAAAACAAAAACTTCAGCTCTAGAGCTGAACTTCGCCAGTTACAAAATAAAAACTTCAGCTCTAGAGCTGAACTTCAGGCCCGGCTACTAGAATGCTAAAGTTTTGCGTGATTGTCTTTGCTACTTCAGCCCCGTATGCTGAAGTTATGCGAAAAACGGGTACGCTTGCAATTTTTTTTGCAAAGCGGGCACAAGTTAAAACGTGACACAAAAAGCGGGTATAGATGCAAATGCCCCAAAAGAAATAGAGAATTAGAGATAAGGGAACATTTAGGATATGTCACCTTCGGATTGTATTCAATTACCATAGTGAATATTTGTCTTGAAACTTATACATGATTAAACATTTTGTCCTCACCACTAAACAAAAAGAAGAGATAGGAAACAGAACATAATTCGGATAACACATGCAACAAAAGATGGAACGTATATGAAGCCATATTAAAATTTCTGATACAATTTTTTTTTTAAATATCTGCCTGGATTCTACTATATAAACAAAGGGTCGTGGAAACTCACTTCCTCACAAGAATAACTTTCAAATTTCAGCAAGTTTTAGGTCATTCTGCCACGGAGATCAATTCAGATGATAATTTTTGGGGCTGGAGATTCTTTTTTGTCTCTTCTCTCAGAAATCTTTTATTGTATGCCACCCTTATTGGTCTCCCAATAAATTCCTATGGACAAGGATATAGGGTTCAAATAGTACTTTAGTTCAATAGAGGTAAAAGTATAAATACAAAAGTTCTTAACAGGTTAACGGTTTATTCGATAGGGAAATTGAGTAATCCATGCACAAACCGTTAAGCCGTTAATTATAAAATCTTAATCTGTTCACCAACCATTACCCCAATAATCCGATACCAATAAGCCAATTTTGTGATTCGGTTAACGATTACGGTTCAGTTTTGAACAACCCTAGTTGATGATATCAATGGATCCAAGAAATGAAACTGAGGGGAATTAATAACGCCAGCACAAAATATGTGTTGGATATTGGGTTTGGGTCGTGGGTTGCCCATGTGGACTGACCCTACCCATTTTTAGGAGATAAAACCTTAAAGAGGTTACCTAGGGAAGTTAAAATACAGATAAATAAAAGAAAAAAACTGGTGCATGTTAAAAATAATGGGGACGTGCGATCAGTTTGTGTGAGCGGTAGTATTTTCTTGAAACCTCTCTCTCTCCTTTATATATTTTGTTCCTCAACAGAGAATGGGTGTGAAAGATTCTCTCTAAAGTAAAAAACACTTTATGATAAATAAAAATAAGGTATTTAATTCGTGAACAAGAATTTCATTTCCAAGAGAGATGAAGTCGGATTCGGCAATTGATAGAAATAGGTTCTGCAAAAACTTCTGCTGATATTAATACGTACACAAATTCAATGTCCCTGTTACTATTAAATCATCATTGATATCAGAGCCATTGGTTGTGTTATGTCTTTTGAATATACTGTTGAATATTGATCTACTTTTGTGTTGAGAAAAACGTTATCTATTGTGTATCATTTAAAGATACAGTGCCCTGGCAAAAGGGGCGTTAGTGCCGTCGAATAGCACTAGTATGAATAGCTAAAGGTCCTCTTTCAAAATAGAATGTCCATATAAGCAAAGACAACACATAGAGCCATCAAGTCACAATAAACAATATCCAAATAACCAATTGAAACATAACGATTTCCAAAGTACGAAAATAGTATATATATATATATATATATATATATATATATATATATATATATATATATATATATATATTTATTTTTTTCTTTTTGGGTTGGGAGATCATTAGCACCGATATTCCACTGTCTTTGTTAGCACGGAGTCTGATCAGGTCCGGTCAGCTAGGCCATCTCCCCACGGACAATGTGGTTTGACATTATGATGCGAAAGAAAGTTGTTACAAGAGTAGTACCACCATGTGCGCAACATGGAGTCTGATCTCCACCCGATCAGCTAGGCCGCCTTCCCACATATGCCGTGTGGGTTGGCTTTTTCTTTTTCAATTCACAGGTATTAGTTTCATCCCACTTTGGGGGAAATATCACAATTTTACCAATATTTCAATTTCATCCCAAATCACAATCCACCCACACCGGCACGTGTAGTTTCAGGTGTGGGCCTTATGACCCACCCTTTCTCGCTCTTGCTAATTATACTCCCAAAAACATTTTTATTTTAATTGCACACAAAGATAACACATATATAGAAATGTATTCATCCCAGAATCTTTCACATTGTACAAATCTTTATTAGAATATTCAACCATCCACATTAATAATATTCTCTTGGCTCTTTGGGCCTTTAACAAGATTCATTATTCATGGCATGTTGGCCGCATTCTATATTCCATACTTTCACTTCTTTTAATTTCAACGATCATCACCAATTACCAACCTACAAAGTATTCCAGAATCATATACCTCAAGTTCATTAGCAATGTGAAATTTAAACACAAAAGGTTTCCTTCCCAAAGATTGGGGCATACCAACCAGCAATAGATACACACATCAAAGTCATAAGCAAGCAATACACCAATTATTCTTGAATTACTCTTTCCCAATCACAACAATGTACAGTTTCAAAACCGGAGTACGTAAGAACTCGAATCACAGTGAATACATTATAAGATAAGGCATTAGTTAAAACAACAACTTATGGGGAAGAATTGAGTACCAAAAGCTTTTAGGTAATTTTATTTTCGAAGTCATTTTAAAACAGTTGAGTCGAGGCTCATTTCATAATATGTTTCACATTTTCTCATTCCATAGGCATCACTAGGCACAAATATAACTTAAGTCATTGGCACGTTATCCACATTCTATTTTTCCAACTCGTTTAATTTATTTTCAAACATCTTTATAGATTATCAACAACTAGACACACTCAACTAAAGCATTTGGTACACATAAGAGTAATTAAACATATCGAGAATTGGTATACTAGTTTTTATTTAACATACAACTCAACCCATACCATTTTAATAAGCAAACCCTACTTTAAGCATCTATCTTTCGATATAAGGCTCATCCAAAATAATCAAGTTTATGAATTTATAGGGGATAACCCGGATTATAGGAATTAGGAACTTTGAGCCAACCATACTTGAACTTACGGAAACATTTATGGAATTCGATTCCAAGAGAGAAAGTTCAGCCAACATACCTTGTTGAGCTTTCCTTAAGTTACAACAATGCCCCAATACTTCTAGCGATAATAATCTATAGGAAGATAACAAAAATTGATTAATAATTAGAAAGACCCCTATGGTGCAACTCTCTTAGGGATTTCATTGAACACCTAACATGTGAAATAGACTTCAAGGTCCTATACTTGAAACCCCTTCTTTCCTCAACTAATTTCAACAAGAAACTACCCAAAAATAGTTGAAAAGTCCACATCCTACAACCTAGTGTACATGCATGGCTTATTTCTAACCCTACCATATATTTGAACGCTTAACCTCTTGCATTAAAGCTCTAGGAGTAGGACTTACCCGGATGGATGATAATCTAGTGGCTTGCTTCCTTGATTCTTGAAGATTTGAACAAGATTAGGTGATTTGGAGTGCTAGGTTCTCTCTTTCTCTCTATATATTGTTCTTTCCTCTCTCTAAAATCAGTAGAAAATGACCCCAAATGAAGCCCCTAAGCCTATTTATTAAAATGGGGTCGGGTTATAAAAATAGGAAAAATAAGCCTCCGAAATCGGGTCTGTGGTCGCCTAATGGACCGCAAAACAGGAATGTGGGCCGCAGACGCATCGCAAAATCCGGTGCCCAGAAT